AGGGAGCTGTAGTTTCTTCCCAGGAAAGGTAACTCCCCTTGACTTCCCTGAGCCTGATGGAGAGGGGAATGGGGTCCTTCAGGGAGGAAAGAGTTAAGCGGCCGAAAGTGTTTGGCGGTGGGGGGGTAACAGCATATGAAGCCTTTCACTCAGTGATGTAAAAAAACACAGCCTCTCTGAGGATGGTGAAACGGAGCTGCTCACAGTCAGAGCGTTACGGTTTGTAATAGATTGTACCCCCGGGAAGGGGCGACCACCAGGATCAGCGCATTCTGCCCCTGGCACACACTCAGGGCTCGCCGGACAGCCTGCACAAGTAAACAGAGGACACTTCAACTCTACCCGCGTGCGGTCTCCTCGCCAACTTTAGCCCTTGATTTATTCTTTGTTTCTGTTTTTTGAAAGGTCACAGTCGCGTTTCGAGAAGGTCTCCCCTTCCTGGCGATCTGGGGCACGGGTACACCCGTCTGAAGTGGAAGCTCTGGGTAGAGCCTGCCCAGAGAGCTGGCTCTCCAATCGGCCGTGCCTTCCCACCACCCACCCTCTCTGCGCCGCCGTGGCCAGCCGGGTTTTTAAACCGGTCATGTACTACCTCTAAGTGCTATCTAACGAGATACTCCCTTGCAAGGACTAATTGCGGCGGGACAGTGTGGTGGGCACAGTGATGCAACAGTTTCCCCATCTTTTTTCCTCCTTTCAAATTAAACCCCGTTGCCTCGGGGAACCCTCGGACGCTTCAGAAAGCGGTGCGTCGGGGAGCGCGGGGCCCTGCGTGCCACCTCTGCGACCTGGCACGGGACAGGAGACGGTGCAGCTCGCTTCTATGGCGAAGGCACTTGCCCAGTAAGAGAGTATTTGAGATCAGGCTAGCAGCTCGTAGACTTGTTCCTCATTTGTTTCAAACCTCGCTGAGTCCTCGGGAAGGGCTACACTCAGTTCACACGGCGATCCGAGCCCCGCGGGACGCTGCCCGCATCAGGCAGCAGCCGTGCTGAGCCGCCCCTCAAAGCCACAGTGTCGCGCCCGCACCGGGGCAGCCGACTGTCAGGTTTGCCCGCAGTCGGGCAATCACCCCAATAAGCCGCCCGTCCGCCCGGCAGCACCCCTACGGCAGCGTCTCCTCCAGCAGCAGGGTAACTTGAGCGGTTGTTTGGAGTAAGTTTGCCTAAAGGAGAGTTTTTTTCATTAAATAAAGAAAATACCTCCCGAAGAGACTCTCCGTGACCCCCGTGGCTGCAGCTGATGTGTCGGGCTTCCCAGTGAAGGTCGTCAGTGTGTTTGCAATTAAAATGTTTGTGTTAGATATTAATAACGATAATCTTTACTTAAGTCCCCAGCCAAAGCAAACAGGGCCTTGGAATCACAAAATCAAAGGGCAATAACTGGGTAAAGACAAGAGGTTTGTGATTTAATGAAGTCTTTTTCCGGAGGGACCACGCACAAAGTAATCGAAGTTTTTGCGCAAATGCAAGTGCCCCTGCCGCTCCCTCCTCCCCTCTGCGGGCTGGAAATCCCATGCTCGACACAGCCTCTCGCCTCTCCCTGCTCCGCTCCCCTGGGAACCAACCACCTGCCCGCTCCCTCAGTAGCGGAGGGACGCGGGGCTCCGCCGGCCCGCGGTGCGGGGTGCCCGGCCCGGCGTGGCACAGCTCCGCCGCCCGCCCGAGATGCCTGCGGGGCCGGGAACGATGGGAGAAAGGCGGGGGGAAGGGGGGAGTGGAGTGCCTGTCTGCAGTGCTGCCGCGTTGACACCGCTTTCCTCTGAAGTGACGCGACCGAGGGTTTAAAGCCTTGTTTTTAGTTTGAGGTTTTGGTTTTGTATTTTTGTTGGGTTTTTTTCCCTTTTGTTTTGTTGGGGTTTTTTGGTTGGTTGGTTTTGGCTTTTATATTGTGCATCTTTATTTTTCTCGGTGAAACCGCCCCAAATCCAGGGAGGGAAGCGGGCAGCCAGCAGCAGGCTTAGTTCATTCTCTGATCTCGGAGTCAAGGCGGTAAAGAGGCGACACAGCAACTATTTCCACGGGAAAATTCCTGCGTGGACCACTGCTGCTTCGTGGACCCCGCACGACTTTTCCACAGTTTCCGTCTTTCTGTGGAGAATGAGCTAGGGATGGGTGTAGGGGGCAGGGAGGGAGGAGGCTGAATAATTGAGCCATGTGCTCGCTAGGACGCCCGTCAGATAGCAGGAACTAGCAACTTTTCCCAGTCTCAAGGCTGCTAAAACCCCCTCGTGTCCCTTTGATCTCTCCTGGGAGTCCCGGGGAGCCATCAGAGGCCAATGCCTTCTTCAGCTGTCCTCTATACAATTCCCTCTGGCAGGTACTAATGTGTTTACTTAGGTGCGCACGGTTCCCAGCGCTGGGGGGAACCAAACGTTTCTCACACGGCTGGAAGCGCCCGGCCGCACCAGCCCGACTGGGAAGTAATTTTGTTGTCGGGGCATCACGGAGGAGCACTCGCTGTCGCTGCCAGCCCGCGGACGGCGGGAGCCGGGCGGAGCGGAGCAGCACCATGAAGTTGCGTGTGCGCTCCGGGGAGCCGGCCGGGCACAGCGCAAAGGCGCTCCGGATGGCCGGGGCTGGGGGTGCGCTCGGGGAGACCGCAAACACCTCTCACCCCCTCAGTCCGGTGATTTATGGTTTCGGTAGGATTTTCTTCTCTTAAATAGAAAGGCGTGGGACTTGGGAAAAGATGGCACGCTCTGCAGAAGGTGCCCACATTGGATGGAATCTTTCCAGAAATAGGTGCGGCACGGCGATTCCTGAGGAGTGGGGAGGGCTGGGGTGAGGAACACCATTTAAAGGGATCCTGACACGTTCACCACTTTCTCTCTACCAGTCCACAGGAGCAGTGTCTGATGCTAAGGCTGTTCCCGCTTTCCAGACTTGAGCCTCCTGAAATGCAGCACCATCCTCCCCCTCCCCCCACCCCGCCCTTCGCCAGCAGCCTCATTAGCCAGCGCTGTAGTTCGTGTTTTCTCCCCCCTTTCTTTAGTTCCACTCGCCTACTGCATTTTTGCAAATTTGTTTTGAGATCACTTTACCAGAGGAGCCGGGGGCTCTTTAAGGGATACTAATTACTGATTTTTTTTCTTCCTGAGTGACAGGCCCTTCCATTATTTCTTCCATTTCCCCAAAAATATTCAAGGAAAAAGGAATGATTTTTTTTTTCCAGCTCTTCAAATACTTTTGGGGAAAAGCACGTTTCTTAACAGCCCCAGCTCCTCTGAGTTAAGAGTCAAATCTGAGACCTGAAGCTGTGCATGCCAGGAGAGCGGGACTGAGGGGCTTGGCGTTGTGCACCGGGAGATCTACAGTGCATGCTTGGAGGGAACCCAAGCATGCACCAATCCAGAAAGGTGATCGGAACTGCAACCGGCACTTTAAAGATCAAGTTTATTTGTGCACGAAGCATAAATATGTAAACAGGTCTATTTTAGCCAGCGCAAACGCAGTAAATGAAATTGTGTGTGTGTGTGTTTGTGTATGCCTGTGTGTGTGCACGCCACAGCCCAGTGAAGAGTTCAAGTTACTGCTGAGCAGAACCCCTCCTGACTGATGCTGTCTTAGGAAAACAGTAGGGAACTGTCCTGTTTCAGATGTGGCCCAACAAAACAGCAACCTGCACCTCAGAGCGTCAGAAACCTGAAATTCTGAGCTTTCCCATTCTGTAACTTTACTCCTTTATCAACTCCCTGCTTTTCATACAGTATTCATTTCAAAGGGGCTCCCCGTGTTTATGGCCCCAAATAAACCAAAGCAGTGCAGATGTAGCCTTCCCCAGCTTTTAGATGATTTTGCAGCCTTTCCTAGGAAGAAGGGTGTGTGCACGGCTGCTTTTCAGGAAAAGTTTTAGCCTAAGAGTGGAAATCCGCCTTTGGGGGCTCGGGGGTTGTGGCAGCGGGGAAACAAGGATGGATTCCCTCCAGCCCCAGCACAGGCCGAGCTGCTTGCCTTTCTCCGCCTTGCCCGTGCGGATCGGAGGGCTTCCCGGCGGTGTGCGCTGCCACAGGGCATCTCTGTCGGGAGATAATTCCCTACCGGCCTTGCTCACTTGATCAGCGTCTCCTCCAGACAAGCGGCTCGCCGTGCCACCACATCAACCCTTCCTGAAGAGAGGCTAACTGAAGGCGCCTTTTTCCTGGACACAAAAACCGCCTGCGTAGCGTTTGAACCGCTGCTGGGTCATTTGCTCTGCGTTTGAGTTAGCCTAGGTCACATAATTTTATTCCCAGGTAGGGAAGGTTTCCTTTGCCTTCTCATAATATTTTCCTCAGCTACAAAAGCCACCTGGATGAAACCAAAGGATTCCTGCGCGTTAGCAAATGCCTGTTAAATGGCTTCATTACCACTCTAATGACCCTTGCACCGCTCCGCTCGGCTACTGCTGCGGCTGGGGCTCTGCAAGGCTTTTGTCCCCTTGTGTAAAGTTACTTAGGGATTGCGGGGTTAGAAATTTTACACTTCCAGGAGGGGTTTGTTGCGCTGGCAGCTGGGACGCATCTGTAACGGTACAAGTTTGCCTGAAAGCAGAAAATTAGCAAACCCAAGGCGCTGCTTGACTGTTGTGTCCCTAGCAGCTCCAGGTCACAAGAGAAGGAGAAATAATGGGAATGGGATTTGTCTCGGAGCAAACACATACACTTTTCTTTTGTGAGTACCTTTCCTTGTGATCCGATCCAGCAGCACTAAAATCTGGTTTCCCTCCTCCTCGTCTCTCCTGGCCACAAGTAGCTGTGCATTGCTGTCCGCCAATTTGTAAATTTGAGCGGTTGGTGGCACAACTTTAATTACTGGACAAAGCGCTCCTCGAGATAAATAAACACATCTTAGGTCTAAGAAGAAGGTTATAACTTTTCAGGTTAGACCTGGATCACGGGATGTGGGAAATAAAGATATGCAAGTAGACACTGTAAGTGTCCTTCCCGAGGAAACGTGTGATGGGAAACAGGAGATGTGAACACCGAGACGAGAAAGGGCTCTGTAGGACAGTGGTTCGTGTGCGTCCACTGCCCCTCTTTCTCTTTCCATACCAAACTGCAAATTCACAGACTTGGTTGGAAATTCGGAGATGTCGCAATCAGTGCTTGGGAGGTCGTTCATTAGAAAAGTGCCCATCTCTCGGCGCTCCAAAAGAGCGGTGCGGAGCAAATTGTCTCCTAGGGACTGGAAGGGGCTTGCCCAGACAGCTCCCGGCAGGGGCTGTGGTGGGATATGCTAATAAAGACTGGCCTCTGCGGACCAGCCTCCCTTTCCATGTATATATAAGGGCCCCCCGCATCAGCCGAAGGACACTTGGTCTCGGGTCCCTAATTACGGAGGAAATTGCCCCAGCGCACTGCGGAGCGCCTCGCCGAGAGCCGGTGGCCGCCGTTCCGTACTGACGCCTCCGTAGCAGGGATGGAGGTGATGGACAGCTGCAAGTTCTCCCCGTCCGAGCTCTTCTATGACAGCTCCTGCCTCTCCTCCCCGGAGGGCGAGTTCCCCGAGGATTTTGAGCCCAGGGATCTGCCACCTTTCAGTGCCCACGAGCCCCCCGAGCCCGCCTGCTCCGAGGAAGAGGAGCATGTCCGAGCTCCCACTGGCCACCACCAAGCCGGTCACTGCCTCATGTGGGCTTGCAAAGCCTGCAAAAGAAAATCCACCACAATGGACCGGCGGAAGGCAGCCACCATGAGGGAGAGGAGGAGGCTGAAGAAAGTGAACCAGGCTTTTGAGACTCTGAAGAGATGCACCACTGCCAACCCCAACCAAAGACTCCCCAAAGTAGAGATCCTGAGAAACGCCATCAGATACATCGAGAGCCTCCAGGAGCTCTTGCGGGAACAGGTAGAAAACTACTATCACCTGCCGGGACAGAGTTGCTCCGAACCGACCAGCCCCACTTCCAGCTGCTCCGATGGGATGGTAAGACAGAGGCAGGAGCCACAGGGCTGTGGGGACCCCAGGACGGCCCGCGGGCAGGTCACCCTCGGCCCAACGCCATGGGACCCGTGCCACGGGTGTGGGACAGGCCGAACGCATCCGGACATCAGGAAAAGGCGGGCGGTTCGCCCTAGAACAGGCCCCTTCCCAGGTTTTCCGCTGAGCACGCACGTGGGCTCTCCGGGGATGCATGGGGGGCGGCAGCGCTGCCCGCGGGCACCCTGCAGGCGCTCCGGCCCCCGGCGTCCTCTCTGCTGTGCCCTTAGCGCGGCCTTAGAGGGGTAGGGCTGGGGGAGAGGGGGAAGGCGCTGCCCAGGGCCAGCAGCCTGGCTGGGGCCGGCTGCTTCCCTCCCTTCCCGCCGGCCTTTATGGCCCTTTCCCTTCTCGGGGAGCGTCCCGCTGGCCCCTGGCCGGGGGCGGCAGGGCCGGCACTCGCCCCTCGCTATCTTGCAGGCCGACTGTGGCAGCCCCGTTTGGTCGGCGAGAGGCAGCAGCTTCGACGCCGTCTACTGCGCCGAGATGGCCCACGGTAAGCGCGACTCGACCCGGCGCGGCCTGCGGGTAGAGGCGGGCCCGGGCACCCCCGCTCCCTGAGGCACTGGGGGAAGGCAGCGCGGCGCCCCGCGGTAACGCGCTGCCCTGTCCCCGTCCCTCCCCTCGGCGCAGGGTACGCCGCCGATCAGAGCAGCGCCCTGTCTAGCCTGGACTGCCTCTCCAGCATCGTGGACCGTCTCTCCCCGGCCGAGGAACCAGGGCTGTCACTGCGCGACGCCGACTCCCTCTCGCCCAGCGCCAGCATCGACTCGGGCCCGGAGACGCCCGGGACGCCGCTGCCCCGACGGACCTACCAGGCGCTATGAGGGGCCGGAGGGCCGGCACGCCGCGCCTGCCGCCGGGGCCGCCTCCCGCGCCCGGCCGCCTCCTGCAAACGCTTCTCGGGCAAGAGGGGCAGCCCCGGAGCCCCTTGGGCCGCCGCTTCCCTCTGGGGCCGCAGGCAAAGCGCCGCGCCGGCCCCCGGCCAGGGATTTCCCGCAGCCCGGCAGGGCGAGCAGACCCCGCGGCTCGGGACACACGCGCTGCCCTGGAATCCCCGCTGCAAATAAAACGTGCTGTGAGAGAGCTGTCTGGCCGGCTGGTTCTTTAAGTGCATTCCCTGGCATGGGGGAGGGCAGCCAGACTCGGCTGCGGGGCGCCCGCCAGCATCCCTGTTGAGCCCCCACCGAACCTCGGGCGGCCCTGGGCTCCTGCCTGCGGGGCGCCCCTGCCCGCCCCATCGCGGCGGTCCCCAGCCGCCATGTGGAGTGTCTCGCCGGGCTGGGCCTGGGAGCTTGTCTCTCCTTCACCAGTGCGTGGAAGTTGCCCCACTCATGGAGCAACAAAAACGTGGACCTTTAAATTCTCACACTGTATGTCCTGTTATGGGCAGAGTTTCCTTTATTTTCTGCAAAATTTTTCTATCCTTTCCTCCCTGCCTTCCCTTCCCTTCCCGTCCACCCCTGTAAAGCTCAAGTTTCTTTCACTGGGTATGAAGAGGGACTGTGTATTCCAGAATTTGACCCTGAAATTGCGTGATGACTCTGCTCTTAAAACAACAGTATGATCTAGCTCTGATGCTGTGCTGAGGAATTTTACTTGTTGCTCTGGCAGAGACAAATTTAGAAAAGTTAGTAAGAACAAACCACATGTATCTCTTTCATAAACCATGAGGTATATTTCACAATATTCAGATAGCAATATAGATTTATTTGCTCCTAATTACTTTGGTCTTTTGGTCCAGGATGCAAGTTCATTACTCTACATCACTCTAGAAATAACCAGGTCAAATCTTCACATGTTTTCAGATTTAACAAGTATTCCAGGCACTGAATTAGGTCTGTCTACCATGAAAAATTTCCATTGTTTTGCACTCTTCTACATATAATCCAAAACTTTCTTAGCCAACCCTCCTCACACCTCCCTCCCCCCCAAAAAAAAGGAAAAAAAAAGAGATGAGATGGAGAGATGGGCTCTTTCAGTTCATCCAGAAATGTTTCATATAAATACTCTGAGTGCGAAGGGTATATGCACCTCACTATTGTGGGATAAGGATGGATTTGCCGTTTGTGTTTGTGGTGCTAGCACTCGGCGGCCAAGGGGCCTGGCAGTGGTATTTCACCTCTGATAAATCTTTCACTTGAACCCAGCCCAGCTGAGTCATGTCACCAAAAGTTATCATCTGACTGGCCTTTGGCAGCATCTCTGAACCAAAGATAAAAGAAGCCTTTGCTTAGGGATGGCTCTGTCCCTGTAGCACACTGAGGGTCTCTGTCCCCCCACAAGGGGCCACAGAGAAAGTGAGGTGGCAGCTGCCTTCCTGAGCCTGCAGCAGGGCAGTAGCAGGTGTGTGTCTGACACAGGGCAAGGCCAGCCCGCCCTTTGTGCAAAGCCTCCTTCAAAATTACTTTCTGCCCTTGCCCATAGCCTTGAGGTAAGTGTTCTTTTCTTGAGGAGTATTTCAGGAGGGGCCTTGACCAGAATGGGCTTTCTGTGTATACAGATATGTCTGAACTAATCATGGAGTAGAAGTGGTTTTAAACCCTTGAGTTGCAGTCATGCAGAGGTACAAACAAGGTATTCTCACACTCCTGTCAGTGCAAATGTTTCAGCAGTATGCAAGTGCCTTAACACAGACGTAGTCTTGGTTCTGGGGATCACTTCCCAAGCCTTCTGTTCACAGGAATCCTTATGCAAGACCGTGAACATCACTGGTTTTATTTCCTGGCTTCTCACACTCTGCTGCAGTGTTGCAGTGTTTGCTCCTCTCAATCAAAATACCATCCCAAGGATACTTCTTATGCTCAGGATTTAATAGAGTGCAGATGATTTTAAATGGTATTTTAAAGTGAGCTAAGCTAGAGAACTTTCAGCATTTCATTCTGCACAGTGCTGACCTTGGCAAGTGATCTCAGATGAAGTATGCAGAGTAACACTAGCAAATCACATGCTGGTAATGTACACCTCTCTTTGACTGGCAGACATTTTAGGAGTCGCAAAAAGGTCAATACTTCTGAGAAGTAGCTTTTCAGAGTGTGAGGAGAAGCATTCCGTCTGTGGGATGTTTGTCCGTAGGCTCCGATGTCCTACTACAGTAGTTTACAACCTCTAGGTTTTGCTGTACACGTTTGGGAAACGAAATCTTAATTCCAGGCCACATATGAAAAAAGCTCCCATGAGGGGAAAAGCGCAATAGGAATGGAAGGAATGGAAGTGGATGTTGTAAGGAATGGAAGTGAGCACCATGAAACTGCCTTTAGTCTGTGGATTGGGAAGAACAAAAAGGCTGTTCTGGTCAGATTTTATGTATTTCGTAATAATATTAATAAGTGCAACTGAAAAGAAAGATTTGTATTCTATATGAAACATGTTCATTTAAGGAAGGCTGTGCCCAGAAATAAATAAGAAAGTGATGATCTAGAAAATTTGACCTCCACCTATCCCAACTCCTACTACGTGTAGATTGCTCAAGGCTCTGGGGCAGTGTGTAGTGGCCTCACAGGCAGGCGGGCAGGTGCAGGGATGCTTCACAGTGTCAGAATAATGAATATAACACAGAAGGTGTGTTACAGCAAGTTTTCTGACTACCACTCGCTGCAAGAAAGGGCATAATTCTATACACTTTTTAGAATACAACAGTGTTGTATTTTACCTCTGAAAACCATGCTTATTTTGCTTAAATTATGACCAGGGGAGGCAGCTGAGCTTTGGTTTTTCTTGTGTGCGAAGTCTCTTGTATCTTTTGTTAATAAACCAAACAGAGATCTTTAGTGAAATACATATTTTAAATTCAGATCAAAAGGGACATTTGTACATTGCAAAACTAACATAGAAACCTGGAAAAGATCTCTTAAATATGACATCAAGACAAAAATCCTGCTTTTTTAATGTTCAGATTTCTTGAGTTGCGTGTGTGAGAAACCACTCCTTTTACCTGTAGGAAAAGACCAAGCTCTTTCTTTCCTGTGGTAAGGCTTAAAAGTGATACATTTTAGTATCACTTTAGTATTACATTTAGTAATTAGTTCTTGGAGGATGAAGGGATCTTTATTTGTAGTGCTTGTCTAAATATGTATAGGAACACCTCAAATTCACAGCTACATTTCAGTGGAAATTCAGCATCTCTTCTTCCCAGTTCACCCTGCTTATCAGGAGCAGTCAGACTTCACCCTGCTTATCAGGAGCAGTCAGACTTCACCACAGCAGGTAGCTCACCTCTCCCCACCCTAAAACGTCTCCCTCACTCCCTTCTTCCCTCCTTTCCTCCTTCTTCTCCACCTTCTCTTCTGCAGAACCCTTGACTCGCTCATCACTTCTCCCTGCTCCTCTCAGCTGGACCTTGGCGTGCTGGAGGACTCACAGCTGGCCAGCTGACTTCTGACCTTTGGCAGCTTCTGCATGGGGTATCAGCCTTACAGCTGGCCACAACTGCCCTCCTGGCAACTAAAAGCATAATGAGCTTGGCCAGCTGGAGAATGGGCTGGAATCCTACTGGCTGATTTGACCCTGTGTGAGGGATTGAGGGGTTCACCCCCAAATGTGGAGGGAGTGAACAGTGCATTTGTCTATGTGCTGCTGCTGCCCCAGGGCATTAGAGCCAGGCTTCTCCTACAGCCAATTGGATTATTGGCATGACTAAAAAAAAAGATAGCAGAGCTGCTTTTTCTCATGCTTTTTTTTTTTAGAGTTTGCTTTTGAGTATTAGGCTTCATTAGTGGCTATTACCCTCACTGCATCTCATGGTGTTCACTCCACAGAGTCCAAGAGATACACCCATCCGCCAGACCAGGGCTGGGCTGAGGGAGTTATTCCCCTTCCCAAACACAGTGGGATATATTGTCTCTTTATTTAGCAGGTAGATAGATAGACTTTCTTATCTCCAGGAGGTTATGCGTCTTGGACACTTACAGATATCATGCAAAACATTGTACTGCTACTTTCTCAAAAGTCTCCTGCTTTCCACTCCCCTGACCAGCTGAAAGGCATCATTGATCCATGGAGTCTGTTTACTTCTTGAGCATTAGTAACCTTTATGAGCTGCCTGGCAATCTGCTGAAAAATGTTGCTGGCTATGATGCCAAAGGCACTGCTCATCTGTGCTTGAAAAAGGTGATACCATGATATATGAGGGTAAGCAGGTCCAGAGAGAGATCAGAAAGGTGTTTCAGTATCTGCATTAAATCAGATGAATTTGGGTCTGATACTCTCTGAGAGGCCTTCAGACCTGGAGTAGCAGCAGAGAAAAAAAATGTGCATTTTTTCTCATTATTTCTCTAATCTTCTGTGAATAAATGCTTTTGAACTGATACTATTTTCTGTTTTAAAAATCTATATAACATGACTTGAGAAAGTAACTTCAAAAGCATTAAAACTCCTTACAGCTGGCTGGAGTAGAGTGAGTCAGTCATCTGGAGGTGGCTGCCTCTGCTCTGGTCCTCACTGTCATGGTTCTGTCTCCTTTGGATAGTATCAAGCTGAAATTGGGAGCAGACACCACACTCTTCTCCTCTGGGTCTATGCCTATGAAGACCTGTCATTCTGAGCCTAGGACTCCTATATTTCATTAAAATTGTGTCTTGAGCAGCTGGGAGTCCTTCTGGCCTTTATTTCTCAGGTTGTATATAATGCTGTGAATTCCCAAATGGGAATAGTTTGGCTGTAAAACCTCTTCAAATGGATGGGCATCATCCTCTTGGATGCCTGCAGTAGTGAAGACTTACGCAACACCTGAATATTAAGATTTGAGCTCATAATCCCTGCGTGATTAAATGGGGATTTTTCTGGGCCTCATCCTGAGTTTAAGCATTCACCCTCCTCTTCCTTGCAAACTCTGTGCAACTGTTTACCTGGTCACAGGTAGTGTGTGACCTCCAGTGAGGAGTTTGTTCCTGTTGTGCAACTGGCCAAGGAAGACACATCCCATGAGATGCTTCATGCAGTGGGAAAACAGGCACCCCACTAATCTAAAGCTGTTTGATTGCTGGAAATATGGGTGAATTAACACCCAGTGTGGGTGAAAGTGCCTGTCTCATATTGGGAATTCCCTTTGGAAGACACACCTGGTGACAGAAAAAAGGG